AAAATTAAATTATTTAAAATAAATAAAAGAAATACACACTTGTATAAACATGCATAAAGATTTTTTTAAGCAAATTATCTTTTTATTTTTTTTACAGCATTCATCTTTAAACAATGACGACGGTTCTGACGGCTCTATGTTTGGTAATTATTTTAATGTTGGATGTCAGTTATGGTAAGTAAAGATATCCATTACGTATTCTTTTACTTTCATCTGTGGAAAAAAGAACATGCGTTTGTTAAGTGAAAATTTAACAATAATGGAAGAGGAGACGAGAAGAAAATAAGGAATATAAGAAACAAAACTAAAACTAAAAATTGTTTTTTAATTTAAGATTTAAGGTATTAGGCATATTTATTATTTCCATAGACGTATTTAAAAATAGTGGATAATATTTTATCAGAAATTTTAGAGAACACAATTTATATTTTTTATTATAATTAAATTGTATTACATCGAACGAAATTATTGAAAAAAGATAAGGTTTTTTTAAATGGCGCTTTGCGAATTTTACGAGAATTCTTCATCTTCGATCGCTGAAGAATCTTGCAGTTTATTGATTAGAAACGCATGAATTTTTGTTTTTCAACAAAATATATACACCGTAACAAATATTCTGCACATTATTTCGCATATATTTCCGGAAAAGGAATTCGAACACTTCGTGTACGACGTTTGGTTGGTGGACAGGACGCCATCGAATCTGAGTTTCCTTATCAGGTGTCCTTAAGATTCTATAACTTGCATATCTGTAGTGGTGCACTTATCAGCGACAGGCACGTTCTGAGCGCAGCGCATTGTATATGTGGTCTAATAGACGAACCTTCTGAAGAACTCACTGTGCGCACTGGAAGCATTAACTTGAAAGAGGGCGAAAAACACGCTGTTAAAGATGTCAAATGCCATCCTGATTATGCGTATGGCTCCGAGACGTCTTGGACGGCCGATCTAGTTGTAATCACGGTGAGGCAAGGCTTTCCTTTTGCCTTTTTACAAATGAAATCGGAGATAAACTTTGATAATTGATAATTTTTGAATATTGAAATTGAAGATAAACTTTTACAATCATTACTTTAATAAGATTATTCAAAGTTGCAATTGTTCTAGTTGATATAATTATTTTATTGAATCACAAGTTTCAATTATTTTGTATACAGAAGTTCAGACATTATTACATTGTAACATTACTATTCATGAATTTTGCGGTATGTTGATCGAATTTTCGATAACACATTATAAATACTTAGACATATTTAATATCTTTGTTATTGTTTAATTTTATAATATTTATTTTTTCTTTTTTTTCTTGTGTTAATTTAATTTTTAGAAATTGTAATTAAAAATGCTAATATTTATTAATAATAAAAAGCTTCAATATTATCGCGCACGGAGAGTAAATTTAATAATTTGCTGTAAAGAATATGCAACTATTTAGTGAATTCCAGATCATTGATAAAGGTTATAAATTGGCAGTGACTTAATAACTAATAAATTAATGGTTCTTGTCAGAAACAAGTGCTGTGGTAAAGCATCCACAATGCATTAAAATTCAAAGATATTTGTATTTTTATATTGTATTGAATAAAATATATTTAAATATAGTAAAATATAGCTTGTTGTCTTTCGTAAAGTTTTCGAGTAATTTATAAATTATGTACATATTTATGAAGGATGTTGATGCTTTCAGCTTGCTAAAGAAATTTATACATCACCCTCTCAATCACCAATTGCTTTAGCAAAGTGCGATGCACCCGTTGGACAATATGCTATTATCAGCGGGTGGGGTCGTGTTCATCCATTTAGTTGGTTATCACGAGATTTGCAAAAACTTTCGGTGCCAATTATCGACAATGACGTCTGTCAGTCTTATTATAAAAACACTACTATTCTTAGTTCTCAAATTTGTACATTTGAAAGAAAAGGGATTGGCGCTTGTAAGGTAAAATATATTATTTTTTTAAAAATATGTACACTATTTTGACCTCGGACAATTTTTTATATTTTTCGATTTCTGCAATAAAAATTTTACGAAAATTTTTTTGAACCAAAAATCGAAAAATCTGAAAAATAAGTATGACTAATTTTCCCTCGGACAATTTTTTATATTTTTCGATTTCTGCAATAAAAATTTTACGAAAATTTTTTTGAACCAAAAATCGAAAAATCTGAAAAATAAGTATGACTAATTTTCCCTCGGACAATTTTTTATATTTTTCGATTTCTGCAATAAAAATTATTCGAAAATTTTTTTGCATCTCCTGAAATTTGCGAAAGTGATATTAGAAACTCCTTTAATACGAGATTTAAATTACGTGTAATAATAATCTAAAATTATATATATATATATATATATATATATATATATATACATATATGTATAATATACATATAATACAATAGAAATTTGCATAATGAATGTATGATTATTAATCATTTTTAAATATGTGTATTTAAAATTTTTTTAGAACGTTTACAATTTTTTATTTTTTATTTTGTGTTGCATAGGAGAATTTAAATAATAATAATACAAGTAAAACTCTTATTATTTTAGGAATCCAAACAAATAATGTTTATACTTTATTAAGTAAAAATTATCGCAACTTTTTAGATTAGATTTACTTTAAAAAGAGAAGAGTAATTTTATCTAATTCTTTAGTGTTATTTTATTCCGATCAAATCTATCGTTATACAATTAAATTAAATTTTTAAGAAAAATTGTTTTCCATTAAATATACTTTAAATTTAAATGTATATACATATTTAAGTATTTAAATTTTATTAAAATGTCGATTGAAAGATAATATTATTCGCAGGGCGACAGTGGCAGCCCTTTGGTATATAATGGTATACTGATAGGTATATTTTCATGGACAAAACCCTGTGCACTTGGTTTTCCTGACGTTTTTGCTAGAGTAAACCACTTTACGAATTTTATTGAACAAGCGATGCAAGATAATTAGGAGTAATTAATAATTAATTAAGCCTATTACAAGCTTAATCAGTCCAGCCATTTTTGTGATCTAATAATCGTATCTTAGTTCAGTCATTTGCGCAAAGATATCTGATCTGTCTTTACGTGCGAACACTTGGCGTGAGACACGACCGTCTCTCTAATATGTAGTTAAATGTAATAGATTGAATAATAAATATTTAAAAAAAAAGTTTCTTTTTTCGACATTTTTTATTTTACATACATGCGTATTATATACGAATATGTATATATTTATATATGTTTAATAATTAAATGTCCAATCAATGTTTAATTAATAATTTATTTTTAATATATAATTTCGTACTTACTAAAAAAAAAAATAAAATAAAATGAGCATTCTTGGAAAAACCGACTCCTATCTTTTGCTCTACTTTTATAATTGCACATTACAAGTGAAGTGCACATTACATTAAAAAAAAAATAAAGCAAACTGATGTTACGGACATTGATGCTATAAAATTGTGTTTAATATTGGATATACCTATATGATAAGAAGAGATACGTATTATATGTTTTAAGGGGAGAAATACATTTACAAGCTCGAAAATCAGTCATTTTTCATAATAATATTTTTCGTAATAATTTTTACAATATCCCGCCACACGCAAACTGCGTGCCGCATATTTGTCGATCTTGAAACTTAAAACACAGTTCATTACATGAGGCCGAAATCCACTTGTAACAATTAAATTATTAATATTGATTTTGCAATTGACTGAGCAATTTAATCCCTTTGATGCTAACATGCATCTATAAGAATCTCCTTCCCCCAAATCTTTAAAGAAAGTTATAAGTGGATTCCGGCTTCATGTAATAAATCATGTGTTTCAAGACCGACGAATATGTAGCACGCAGTTTGCGTATGGATATTGTAAAAATTATTACACACCAATAACATCTGTTGGCTCGCGTATATAGGGGCTACTTCACTATTGCAGACTAGTAAAATGATTTCTATATATTAAATATTGTACTATTTTAGCATTGTTTTCATAATAATTAACATATTAGTGATTTCTCGAAAAAAAATGTATCAAATTAAAAAAAAAAATCCGAACAGTATTATCTTTAATTTTTACACTATAATATTTAAGTAATATGTATTTTTAAAAAATTATGTCACAAAATTGCGTTAACAATACCTGATTTTTTCTTCTCTTTCTAACATAACAACATTTGTTAGAGAGAGAAAAAAGAATCAGATGTTTCCTTTCTCTCGCACGTGTCGCTCATGCCCAGCATATGACATACTTGATTTATACATTATATCATGCTTCTTATACATTATTCCTCCCTTCTGTCCTAACAACGATGAGGCATGCGTATTTTGCATGCGGGGGTGTGCCACTATTCACCGTCATCACCACCACCACCACCACCACCACCACCGCCATCACCACCACGGGAACCCTCCCTCTCGATGCGCATGATATTTATAGCAGTCTCTTATGGTAACGCGACGGTGACAGTTGCTTTGTCACTCTCAGATATAAGCAAAACAGTTATTCGATCTTCATATTTTTCATCAATTATCTTTATAGTTAGAATCGAATGCCGTCTCTGCGAATTAAAGGAAACGTGATTAACATTACATAAATAATTTTGTAATATAGAACTTATAATCTTAAACGGATGTCATTTCGTTCGCGGGCTGAAGTGTTCGGAGGATAATATCACAGCGAGGGTAAGTGAATACAATGCACGATGATGTATATCTGAACGAGCGACGGGCTGAAACATTCGTGAATTTTGATGCATAGTGTCGAAATGCGTCAGTGGAATTAGCGAATAAGACTTAATACGTGCGTTGTCATATGCCTGTAATACATAATTGGCGCAAGAAGTAAATGCCTTATCCTATACTATAGGCCACTATTAAATGAAGTAAACAATTGACAAATCCATCACAGATGGTTCTTTTTTTAAAAAAACCACAGATCATTTTATGTTGACATGATAAAATGAATATCATGAAAAATCAATATAGAATATTATTACTGACGGTATAGGTACTATATGACAAATGTACGTTGTTTATTATACTAATTTGTATAAAATATTTGCTGTTTTTGTAAATTACGATTTGCAAAGCTATTAGAGCATTTTTATTTATTTTAAATAAAAAATTAGATAAGTGGAGATTTTCTACAAGAATAAATTTTATATATCTCAAGTTTTTGTATAATGTTAATATGTAATATGTATTCAATATAATGTTATATATTATTTTTTCACACTTTCGTTTTTTTTAAATATATGTTTTATTGAATACACATAGGGTAATTCCGGTATATACGCCGCATCTATTAAAAATTTAATTAATTATCAGGTATTATTAATTATGATTAAGGTAAATAAACTACCAGTAAAAACTTTAGACTATCTACTACTATGAAAAAAATATTAGGAATCCAAAATATTTATTTTTTATATTAAAAAAAATTCTTTAAACCCTTGCATTTTTGTCGTATAAAAATATGAATGGGTTATATGGCTATTCACAGGTAAAATGAATGATTAAAAAAATATACAAATAATCTAAAGAGCTAAGCACTTGTATTTTGCTATATTCTATCCTTTACAATTCTTCTACACTTATGTACCATGCGAAATAACCACGCCTTTTATATTTCCTACAATAATCATTTTATGTCGATTATAACTTATGGTTGCGCTACTTAATACAGTGATAAATCGATTTAACTTACAATAATTTTATAAATATTAACAGTAAAAAACTCTGAAATCATAACACAATATTAATATAACATAAAGGTATATAACAGAGTGGTTGTGAGAAAATTACTTTCACTTCTTTTATTTGTTATGACTTCTGCGGCATAAATCCTCGCGCGGTGTATATACCGGAATTACCCTATAAAACAGATTACGTAGATAAACTCAAAATAAATTTTATTATCCTTGTCTCGCGAGTAGAACTGACACATATCCGCCCGATGTTTTTATTAACTGAAAATAAAATTTACATAAAATAATACTTTAATATTTTAACAATATATAAAGTAATATAATTATTGCTAAAAGAATATAAAACATATGAATGTATACATATATACATATACAATGTGTGTGTGTCTATCAATATAATTTTTACATATATCTATTAACATATATTTATTTGATTTGAAAATTTTTTCACGCACAACTATTGTGCACGAGTGTTTTTAATATTATATAATACATGTCTCCATCAGTATTTTGTAACCGTTTATCTTATTTTGATACCATAGTTATTCTTACATTTTTATAATTTAAAGAGAGTTTTTATACAGAATTATTATGATATTATTATAATAATTATAAAACTTCTGTATAAAAACGTGTTATATGACTTCCCTAAATTTATTAAAAATTTATTAAACTGGTTTTGCAATCAATATATTATCTATACACATTTTTATATAAAATTGTATTATATATATAATTATTTATATATTATTTATATTTTCATATAAAATTGTATTATATATACATACATATATATATATATATATTATATATACATGATATATATATATATATATATAATACAATTTTATATAAAAAAGGAAATATAGATAATACATTGATCTTTAATAATTTGGTTATTACTACTGAATAGAAATTGAAATAAAATAATAAATGAATTATTTACATTGCAAAACGTTGATAGTGTCATGGGAAACATTTTCCCAGCTGTAATATGGAGGGATTTGTTGGCTCGAATCATTATTATAATCAAAGTTTTCGCTTCTTCCGGCTCTAGCATGTACCATTCGTAATTATACGCTGCATGATATATTCCTTCGCACTTTATAAATAATACAGAGATATAATTATTTTTGCGGATATTTCTATATACTCTTCATATTCTTTGATAATGTACTTACTTGTGCTACTAGAATCTCACCTACTACACAATAGAGACACATATGACCGCCAACATTTAACGTTACAGATATAAGATATATAAAACGCAGCATTGACATTTCCTTTCCTTCCGTCAGCACCTATATAAGATCAATAAAGCAAAAGACTGTCAATGATGCAACTTATTTTAACAAATAATATCCTAAATTCATTTTAAACTTTTTACCGTTCTTTATTTGACATTAAAATATATAAGCATTAATTTGTTATTTATAAAACAATAACATTTAATTTTAAATAGTAGTTAAAATATATATTACTTAATGTAAATGCAAAATATTTTATTTTTAATAATTAATAAACATTTTAGAAGAATAAAACATCTGAAATTTTTTGTATTTGCAACTGTGAGATATATGACACTTTGCGGAATTTTAACATATTAACATCTCTTTATGTTCTTTATTATATTTTTATTATACTCAAGATAACTAGATTTGATTTTGTTTTTATAACTCACCGCGATGATTAAAAATCCAAATAGACAAAATAATGTACCAAAATATAATATCAAACCAAGTAGTAATATAGTAAATGTACTTTCAACGATATCAAAATATCTGAAAAAAATTAATTTTAAAAAAATTTTTATAAATATGTGAAATATATAAAGTATTTTAAGAAGTAAATATTATATTTCATAATAAGTATAAGAATAAATTAATACGAAACTTGATTAATCGTATATGATCCTTGACGATGAAAGAGAGACCATTGTTGAAGTTTTTAAATTGTTTTATATTTATCAGTCTTTCTTTGAGGTTCTCCATTTGGCCACACAAGTGAAATACTAGTAATCCAAATAAATTATCTACGCCGATATAAGATGCAGCAGCTAGAATGAGCAGAAGGGTTTGCGCGGCGAACGTGAGCTCATAATACGGACTTAGATTTTTGTCGTAGAAGTAGTGGCTTTGCAAAGGTAAAATTTTAATCGGATCCGTAATATTTGTCATATATCTCATTGATGTTCCGAAACAAGGTAAAACAACGAGTAAACCGGATCCTACTGTCACAAGGACGAATCCGAATATAGCAATGGCACGCGCACTCTGCGCACGTTTTATCATAACATGCAGTTCTTTATCGGTCTTGGATTTTAACCAATCATTGGCGATCGTATTTAACACCAGTATAAGAGCTTTAACAAACGAAGATAGTGTTAACGAGTCTGTACGTGCTCAAAACTAAAATAGAAATAATTCCTAGTTTATAAAATTTATTTTAAAAAATCCCAACGAAAGATAATAATTAATAACGACTGATTTAATTTATCATGATTTTGACAATTTCTTTTTCGTTGGAAATAATTCACAAATAAATTCAATATATTAATCAGCTAGAAAAAAATTAATTTTTTATATAAATATTCTTTAATTGATGTATACAGCTGCATAACTAAAAGAGATATTTGGACGGAAATTGTCGAAGAATTATTCCGAATCATATATGTTTGCATATTAAGCTAACCGATGTTTTGTTAAATTTATTTTATTGGAAATAATGCTACTGATTAAATTTGATTGAGCTGCGTCGAACGCGACATTACTGGGTTTCTTCCACCATATGATCACCAGTTTCATTATCGTTGTCACCAGTGGTAAAGTAACTTGCAAGTTGTCTATCATTGCGAGCATGTCGCCCCAAGTTCTCACCAGCGAGTGCATTGCGGGAATCATGCCGATAAAAACGAATAGGAGTACTGAGAACATTGCGCGCAAGTCTGATAAGAATTTGTCAGAGGCATTTTCATGAATATTCGGCCATATGCCGACAATACTCAGCGTAAGACGATTCAATTTAGTTGCCCATTCAAAATCTATCTAGGCAGAAGAATTCATTGTTCAACTAGTAATGATAACATTATATAATCATCAATCTTATATATGCGTGCAGAAAATCTAAAATATTTCTATCACGTTGCTTTCATCCGAGTTTGGTATGTCTTACGTCAAAGAATTTTCATTATTATAAATATATCATGATAAAATACTGTATATTGTATATGACTAAATATATATATATATATATAAAACTGTATCCTTATAAATATTTATTGTGCTGAATGCACTTTTTACTTTTTAGTTTATATTATTTAAACTTAAATTTTTTATATTAGATCATATATTTGTTTTTTACAAGAATTTAAAAAATTGTGATAGTGCCAGTCATTAATGTTACTTGTTAGAAATTTCACGAGAAAGTCAAATAATAGTCAGGGATGGCAGTCAATATGTTAAGATGCATGGCACTTATGTAGAAAAGCGTCTCGTCGCGTCGGCAGCATAAAAAGTTTAAGCAAAAAGTGCAAAACAACAATTTTTTATATTCATTCATGTATAATTGATGTACTTCAATCAATTATATTACTAGATTATTTTAATCGTGTGCTATTAATTTAACCTAATGTATTGAAAGTGATGATTAGTACCTGCGTATTTCATTAACTCGGCGGTACTCATGTTCGGAAGTGTAAAGTTACGTAAAGACTAATGTTACGTGAACCCTTCCGTACGTGAAGTATATCCCGTGAAGTATATTATCTTGGTGGAATACGTTAACTAACAAAAAGTATTGCGCGCTACTTCAATTAAAGTTCGCAAATTCCATGGGTGTTTTATATGTGTAGAGAATCGTAAATATTGCAAGTGACGGCACGAATGTTGCAATCGTCAGGTGCAAACGATCTCATAGAAAAGTGAAAATGGATAGGAGTAAATGAAATGAGTAATACAGATCGACATATGGACAACAGGGCCGCAGCTGAATAAATGTAAATTTTATTTACATAACTAAACGTTAAACAGCAGCTAAAAGTTAAATTCGCCAAAAAGCGATTGAATTAATATAAATTTGTACAATAGAATGTGAATTAATACAATTATACGATCACGTATTTGGTACAGCAAATATAGTATCGTAATAAATTGGATCAGCTAATAAGAAAATGTATTATTTTTTACTAACAATATTTTAGAATTTCTTTCTAATAGCGTTACTTTTTTGTAAATGTGATCATGAATATTTGTAGTAAATATATGTAATCTCATTTTTGAATATGACCCTTTAAGGATTCTTTATTTCCTTTTTTTGTTTTGTGAAATCAGAATATGCCGTCCCTGACTTTATATGTCTAAAATTTATGAAGTTGTGCGTGGTACATACGATGTTACAACTGTCACGCAAGAGCCATGGTTGCAAAAGTTTTCGCGCTAGTATAGGACCTAGAATTTTAATACCGTTTTCCTTTCATATCCCTTCTCTACATTTCGAGCAACATTGAGGCATGCGCATTTCGCGGGGTTGTTCCTCCTGTCATTGACATGAGCTATATGTAATATTAGTGCTTTGGGTAAATCGGCGATGAATGCATCGCGTAGATAGTTTAATGACGAGCGTAACACTGACTCTTAATTCTTATTCTCGCATTGTATCACTAGGTAAATAAAAATATATCTTATAAACAATGATAAACTTTACTCTATTTAGATTCAAATTATGATTATAAAAATATATTAATCATTACTTCTCGATATGAATCTTAAGTCAGATATTTATCCGACTTTTAAAGATTTCTATTTTTATTCTCGATGTGTCAGTAAAACTGATATATAATTGACCGATGCCTTCAATAACAATAAATATAATATTACAATAAATATAAAAAATATATATGTTGGCATGTAAAATTAACTTAATAGTTAATCTAATGTTAAACGTATTATTTGTATACACTTTTTCTTCCAATTATATGTTTTATTGAATATACATGTAACACATGTGCAGAATATATGAAATACATAAGAAATGCTCTGAAAATAAGATTTAGAAATTTTGTCTTGCAAGCAAAACCGACATATATCCGCCTGATGCTTTTATTAACTAAAATTAATAAAATATATATGTAAAATAATCTTTAAATATTTTATAAAAACATATCAAGCAATATAATTATTATTACGAAAATGTAAAATATATATAAATATATGTATATGTGTGTTAATTAATATTTTTATATTTCCGTTAATATACATGTTTGTTTTCAAATTATTGTGCGCGTGTGCTTTTAATATATAAATTGTTATCTTATAAATGGCTTATTTTGATGTTACAGTTTTTGTTCCATTTTTATAATTTGGTTTTTACGGAGAATTATATTAATTATAAAATTTTTATAAGAATGTGTTATGACAAATTTTTTTTAAGTTGAAGGGCTTGCTGCAACAATAAGCTAATCCACAATGCCGAATATGTAGTATTAGTAGAAATGATTGTATTTTCCTATCACTTTAACTTTAGAATTTATTTTCTCCATTTCAACAAAATGTGAGTTAGTTCACCATTGCAGCAAGCTTTTCGACTGTTTGTAATATAGATTTTATACACATAATCTGAAATCGTATGATGATTTAAAATATAGAAAAGTGATTTTTATTAAAAATCCTTGAAAATTTAGATAAATAAATCAGATATAGGTACGCTTTATCGAATTATGTTATTTTCAACTTTCAGTTCCGACAGGAAATAGACTATTTTATGCTAATTTGTTTCCAAAATTATTTAATTAATACATGTACATATATTGTAAATTGTTTTATACTCATGTATAAATTAAGTTATATATTGTTATTTATATACATTATATATCTATATATATATATATAATTTATAATTTTATATATATATACATATATATATATATACATATAATAAAAATGCATATAGATAATATATTGTAAATAGCTTGATTATTACTATTCGATAACTAACTTTAAAAATAATGAATAAATCACTTACATTGCAAAACATCGGCAATGTCATAGGAAACATTTTCCCAGCTGTAATATAGAGGGGTTTGTTCGCCCGAATCATTATTATAATCAACGTTCTTGCTTCTTCCGGCTCTAGCATGTACCATTCGTAATCATACGCTGCATGATATATTCCTTCGCACTTTATAAATAATACAGATATATAATTATTTTTGCCATTTTTCTACCACATTCTTTCACATTCTTTGATAATACTTACTTGTGCTACTAGAATCTCACCTACTACACAATACAGACACATATGGCCGCAAATGTTTAACGCTACAGATATAAGATATATGAAACGCAGCATTGACATTTCCTTTCCTTCTGTCAGCACCTAATAATATAATTAATAAAATAATATGATTATAAATTATGTAAATTATCTTAACAAGTAATATTATAAATATTTTATTTTATCTCTTTTTATTTAGCATTAAAAATATATTAATATGAATATTATTTTGGATAGTAAATATCTAGTACAATAATAGTTTGAAATATTATTGTATATATTACATATTATATATATTATATATTATATATAGATATTAATATCATGTAGATATAAGTATTTTAAGTGCAAAATAAAGTAAGCGTTATTTTATTTTAAATAATTAATAAATATTTTTGAAAAATAAGGCAGCTAATTTTTATATTTTCAACTTTGTGAAATTTTTTGACAGATTCACTTAGATCTTTACGTAATCTGTTATTTTACTTAATATAGTTAAATTAATTTGATTTTGTTTTTATAACACTCACCGCAACGATTAAAAATCCGTATAGACCAATTAATATTTCAAAATATAGTAGCAAACCGAGTAGTAAAAAAGTGAATGTACTTTCAACTATATCAAAATAACTAAGAAAAATTGTTAGTTATTTTCTTATTTTATAAAAACAGGAAATACATAAAATTAAGAACTGAATATTATTTTCCATAATAAGTTTACAAAAGTAAATTAATACGAAACTGGATTAATCGTACATGATCCTTAACAATAAGAGCGAGACCGTTGTTGAAGTTTTTAAATTGCCTTATATTGATTAATTGTTCTTTGAGGTTTTCCATTTGGCCACACAAGTGAAATACTAGTAATCCAAGTAAGTTATCTACGCCGGTATAAGATGCAGCAGTCATTACAAGCATAAGAGTTTGTGCAATGAACGTGAGCTCGTAGTACGGACTTTGATTTTTGTCATAGAAGTAGTGGGTTTGCAAAGGCAAGATCTTAATCGAGTCCGTAATATTTGTCACATATCTTAATGATGTTCCAAAGCAAGGTAGAAATACGAGTAAACTGAATCCTACTGTCATAATAACGTATCCAAATATAGTAATGATACGTGCATTCTGCGCACGTTTTATCATAACGTGTAGCTCATTGTCGGTTTTAGCTTTTAACCAATCATTGGCGATCGTATTTAATATTAATGTAAGATCTGAAACAAAACAAGTTTGTGAGATAAATCGGCCAAGGACAAGCGAGGGCTTTATTTATCTCACATATTTTTATGTTAAAACACGAGCTAGACATTTTAATTAAAACAAGTTTGTGTTAACGTATTTGTACTGTGTTTAAAACTAAAATGAAAATATAATTCCTAATTTATGAGAAATTCATTTTAAATATAGAATTCTAATGGAAATAAATAACGGCAGATTTCATTTATCATGATTTTGAAAGTTTTATAAAAGTTGTCAAAATGATTCTCTGTGAATAAATGTAAATCCAGAAATTTTATTCTTTATATATACATATATATATATATATATATATATATATATATATTAATATTTCTACAGATTTTTTTATTGAAGTATACAATAGTACAACTAAGAAAGACATTTTGTCTGAAAATTGTCGATGACATATTTGAATTATTCCGAATCATATATAATTGTGTATTTGCGTAAGCTAACCGATGTTTTGTATTCAGTTTATTTTATCGGAATTAATACTACTAATTAATTTAATTTAACTACGTCGAGTGACATTACCCGGTTTTTTCCACCATATTATCACTAGTTTTATTATCGTTGTCACTAGTGGTAAAGTAAATTGTAAATTGTCTATCGTTGCCATCATGTCGCCCCAAGTTCTCACTAGCGAGTGCATTGCAGGAATCATGCCGACGAAAACGAATGAAAGTAGTGCGAACATTGCGCGTAAGTTTGATAAGAATTTGTCAGTAGCATTTCCGTGAATATTCGGCCAAATGCCGACAATATTCAACGTAAAACGATTCAGTTTAGTTGCCCATTCAAAATCTAGGCAGACAAATTTAATGTAGAACTAGTAATGATAATACGATTTTATTTTTAATCTTATATAACAAATGTAATATAATTAATATATAATAAATATAACTAAATCCAAAATCTTTTCAACAAGTTTTCTGCCTGGCGAGTTTTCCCATATTACAGAATTTTTATTATTATAAACACAATAATGATAATGTATTGTTTATAATCAAATAAGATTATATTCTCATTACTGTGTTGAATAATGCACTTTTTACTTTACATTGTTATTTGGTCATTTGAATTATTAAAAATTTGACATTAGATGATATTTACTTCTACAAGCGTTTAGAAAAATTTTGATAGCACTAGTTATCAATGACTGCTATAGTCTTCACTGTCAAATATTCAGAAAACCATGGATGATCATGGCAGTTAATATATTAAAATACATGACATTTATATGGAAAAGTGTCTCGTCGGTAGGATAAAAAGTTTATGGAATATATGTGAAACAACAATTTATACGATTGCATAATATTTTATTTTAATAAATTATACATATATCTATAATTGTTTTAGTCGTGTGTCATTATTTTAGTCTAATGTATCAAAAATTATGATCAGTACCTGCGTATTTCATTAACTCGGCAGTATTCATGCTCGGAAGTGCAAAGTTA